GTTCATTAAATTGTGTAGGCCATCTTGTTTTTATACTTCCTGAAGTTCAAAGAAACACAAGATTTAATTATTACCCCCAGATTCCATTTTATTATCCGTGGATGGGATTGGTATATGTTAACTTTGGTAATTTGCTCTCAATTGTTACAATATATTCCATTTAAATTCTGTTCCTAAAGTACTTTAAATGTGTTTTTGGTTACATATTTGGCTACATTAGATATGTTCAGATTTCACAGCAAAAATAATGCTGTAAAATACGATCACTAAGGAATGAATAATATTGAAAACCTAGGCACAGTGAGCAGGTGTATGTAGATGGATCTAAATAAAAATGATTTCAGAATATAAAGAGGGGTAAATGCTTCTTAACAATACTGTCAGTTCTGGAGGTGCCCTCTAATGGTTACCAGTAGCTTAATTACAACTCTTATGATCTCCCTTGTACTAAACCACTCCCTCTAACGCAGGTTGTTATTCCATGCATCTGCAGATGTGTTCCAGTGCCACTGTTTAAAGCAGGGATTGTGTATATCAAGCACATACCATCCCTGACTTATGAAAGTTTGATTTCAGATTTTTCACCTTTAGAGCAGTTTGAAGCCAGGTGTGGCGGCGCACACCTGTAATCCCAGCACTTGGAGGCTGAGGCAGGAGGATCGCTGTGAGTTCGAGGTCAGCCTGGGCTACACAGTGAGTTCAAGGCCAGCCTGAGCTACATAGCAAGACCTTGTCTCAAAGACCTAATCTCAGAACTTTAGGGTGGTTTGAAAGCAATATTCATTCAGTTGAAACTGTACCTCAGATATTTGAATTTGGACCTTTGCTTAGGCTACTGACGTGTAATAGTCTCCCGAGGCCAGGCAGCAGCCCCTTAGCTTCCTAGAGGACTCCTTTAGGTTGCTTCTCTTCGGTGCCTACTGATGGGGCCCTCGGTTTGACGAATTCCGTGGATCTGGTGAAATCTTAACAATTTAAGCACGTTTTCAGTGAAGCTGAGTAGGAAGTAGCAGGTGCCTTCGAGGAGCGTAGACTCTCATGTTATTCGTTCTCCGAGAAGGACCCAGTGTAGTTCTTAGTCAGTGAGGAGGCTGCAGTTTGTGTGTGAGGGATGAAAGGGGTTCTACAACGAAAGGGGCCGAGGCACAAATCCACTTCTTTGGGAACGAGGGAGGAGGAAGGGAAGGAAAGGACGAGAAGAGAAGTGACGATAGAAGGAAAAAATGGAAACAAAGCTTCTGTACATAGGGAGGGCAGGGGTTTAAGGGGGGAAGGGATAAAATTTATTTTTCAAAAACCACTTCATTACACGTATGTTTTTCATATTTTCTTTTTTCTTCAGGGCATTCTTTGGGGCAATTTTATTAACTTTTATTTTTTAGCACGGAGTTGTCATACGTGTCAGTCACATTCATCCTAGGGAGTTTGTGCCTGTACGTGATATATATTAATTCTTTTTCCCCATTTCCCTCCCTTGGCTTCATCCCTTCTTCCTCTCCACATTTACACAAGCTCTGTTTCCATTTTTCTCCTTCCAGTCTTGGCTTTTCTTTCCCTCCCTTCCCTTCCCCCTCCTCTCCCCGTTGTCCCCTTACCCCTTCGAATGTCTTCCCTACTTCCCAGTGTCTGTCCTCCGCTATGCTCCTTACTCACGCTTTGGGTTTCCCACACAAGCGAAACAATGCAATATTTGAACTTGTGTGTCCAATTTATTTCACTTAATATCACGGTCTTGAGGTGCATCCATCTGTCCTAGAAATGATTCAGGTTTATCTTTACGGCAGAGTGGTACTCCATTGCATATAAATACATTTTCTTTTTTTTCTTTTTTGTGGGGGGGTTTGAGACAGGGTCTCACTTCATAGTTGGAACTCACTATGTAGCCCAGGCTGGTCTCGAACTCACAGCGATCCTCCTGCCTCAGCCTCCTGAGTGCCGGGATTACAGTCGTGCACCACCACACCTGACCTAAATACATTTTCTTTATTCATATTTTTGGGCATATGGGCTATTTCCAAGACTTAGCTATTATTAATTGTGCTGCTGTAAACATAGTTTTGCATATATCACTGTGTTGTTTTAAGTAGCATTTCTTGAGTGAACAGTGTTGTTGAACATTTTTTCATACATTTATTTATTTACTGTTTGTACTTCATCTGAGAAATGTCTGTTCATTTCAGATGCCTGTTTTTGGATTGAGTCTTTAAATTTGGGGGCTCTGATGTTTTTGAGTTCTTTGTATATTTTAGATGTTAGTCCTTTGTGTGAGGAGTAGCTGGTAAATTTTTTTTTTTTCCTATTCTGTGGATTATCTCTTCATTCTGTTGGTTGTTTCTTTTGCTGTGCAGAAGCTTTTTAATTTGCTGTGATCCCAGATGTTGATTCTTTGTAATGTTTCCTGAATGATCAAGATTTGTTCATAAAGTCTTGGCCTATACGTATGTCTTCTAGAGTTTTACCTATTTTATCTTCCAGCAGATTAAATGTTTGTTTTGGTATTTATTTGTTTGTTTTGAGACAAGGTCTGACTGTGTAGTTCTGGCTGGCCTTGAACTCATGATGTAGTACGGGCTGGTGTCAAACTCATAGTGACCCTTCTGCTTTAGACTCCTGAGTGTTGGGATTACAGGTGTGTGTGTTTCTGTTTTATATTTATATCTTTGATCCATTTTGATTTTAGTTTAGTGCATGGTGAATGGTATGGGTCAAGTTCAATTTTCAGCTTTGATATTTCTTTCTTTTTTAATCTAATTGATTTATTTGTGACAGTGGGGTAATTGGGGTCTCCCATTAATTGTATTAGTGCTTATCTGATTTTTATATCCATTAGTATTTGTTTTATATAGTTGGGTGTGCTGGTATTTGGTGCATAAATATTTGCGATTGTTATCTCTTCTTCTTGGATTGTTCCCTTAACTAGTGACTTTGTCTCTTCTGATTTGTCTTGCCTTGAAATCCACTTTATCTGCAAATAGAATAGCTACTCCTGCTCTTTTTCAGTTTCTTGTCACATGTAATAATATTTTCCATCCTTTGATTTTCAGGCTATGAATTTCTTTTTCAGTTAAATACATTTCTTGTAGGCAGTATATTGTTAGATCTTATCTCTTGATCCATTCTGCCAGTCTGTTTCTTTTGATTGGTGAGTTGAGTGGGTTCATATTGATGGTTATAACTAACATGTATCAACTTATCCTTATCCTTCCTGTTGTTGGTCCCCTTTCTTTCCCTTCTGTTTGATTATTTGCTTTGCCAGGTGGATTCACTCTTTTGGAATTCCTGGAATTGTTATCTTTTTCTAGAATATTCTTCAGAACCTTTTGGAGCGCTGGTTTGGTGGTCGTGAATTTCTTCAGTTGTTCTTTATCCTGGAAGTACCTAATTTTTTGTCAATTTTGAAAGATAATTTTTTTATTACATCAATGTGAGTTGGAGCTTGTTTTCTTTTGGACCTTGAAATACTTTACTCTGAGTTCTCCTTGACTTAAGGGATTGCATTGAGAAGTCTGCTGTGATTCTGATGGGTTTTCCTTTATAAGTGATTTCTTTTTCTCTAGTAGCTTTTAATATTCTGTTGTTGAGTTGAATTTCTGGAATCTTAACTATTAAGCCTTGGTGTAGTTTTTTTTTTTTTCTTTCTGATTTTGACTAGTTGTGTTCTATATGCCTCACTTACCTGTATGTCAAATTCTTTTTCTGTGCTTGGAAAGTTTTCTGCTGTTATTTCGGTGAACAAGTTTTTTTTTTTTATGTCCCTTGTGTTGTCTTCTGATTCTTCATTGATTCCAGTTACTCTCATTTTTTTTTTTTTTTTTTTGAGACAGGGTCTCACTATGTAGTTGAGACTGACCTGGAACTCTCTATGTAGTTTAGGCTGGTTTCAAATGCACAGTGATCCTCCTGCCTCAGCCTCCTGAGTGCTGGGATTACAGGTGTGCGCCACCACGCCTGGCAGGCTCCAGCGCCTTTTCTGATCTAGTCTTGGATGTCACACACCATCCTTTTGCCATAATTTATTCATTAGAAATGGGTTATCAAATCTAGTCATTACTCTAAGGACCTGTTAAATTCCCCTTTTGAAGGGAGCAATGTTAAAGATTTGTGGACATATTTAAAAACCATCATAGGTGTGTTTTGAGGAGAAATGGGCTGGGCATTCATTGAAAATATTCAGAGGAACTGGAGCTCTAGATAGCCACATTACCTACATGTGAAAGTAGGTGACGGCAAAATTACTGAGGATGGTATCTTAGTTTTCTCACTGCTGAGACAAAATACCTGACACCCAAAGCTAAAGGGGGAAGGGTTTATTTAGTTCACAGTTTGTAGAGGTTTCAGTCCATAGTCAGCTGGCTCCAAGGCAGGGTGGCGTGGCAGAGGAGAAACAGTTCATGGTGGTCAGAAGACAGCAAAAGCAACAAGGGGACCTTAACAGTGTTTTTCTGCCCCTTTTATCTTATCCAGACAAACCAATCAGTGTACTGGTTCAGCCACCTCTGAAAAAGCCACCCATGATGAGGCTCCGGGTGGACATCTAGACATGAGCCATAGCAGATGGAGAATTCTCAAGGCAAGTGCTTTTATTTAATTATTTTTCAACGAGCCTCAGTAATGGTCACTATTCCCTCTTCTAGATTATATTATTCCAGTTATTCAAATATTTTCTTAGAAGTTTCCACTTTTGGTCAGATGTGGTGGTGCATGCCTATGATCCCAGCACCCAGGAGCTGGGTCAGAAGGATCACTTCTGTTTGAGGCCAGTTTGGGCTACATAGTGAGTTCAAGGCCAGCCTGAACTACTCAGTGAGACCCAATGTCAAAAAAAAGAAAAAGAAGTTTCCACTTTTAATCTGTAGTTATTTTCTTCAAAGATTTTCATTATGGAAAATTTCAGATATACAAGAAATACAGTGCATGTCCATATGACCACCATCTAGATGCAGTAATTGTAACGTTTTATTTTATTAGGTTCATCAGTCAATTTTTTTCTAAGCCTTTTATCAGGGAGAATTCTTTTATATAGAAGTTTTCCCTGGACCTTTGGAATAAAATGCAGATCTTCTCAAAAGGTAGGGCACAGAACTAACTCTTTAGCTTTGTTCCTTAATTACTAAGTTTCAGAGTGAGGAACTGATGTATAAATTTGCATTGCTAACAAAGGATTTTTTAAATTTTTCTTTTTTGGGCGAAGACTTATAGTCCACAGGGCAAAACATATATTGTGTGTTATCTATTGCCAAAGACTCCTAGTGATGAGCCATTTGTCATACCCACCATAGTTGTAAGCAGTCTCTGCAGCCTGGACAGAAGTGTCTGTTATCAAGTAGTGAATTTAATAAGTGAGAAGTAGTACAAATAGATTTGTCTCTTTTACAAATTAGGAAGAACATCTTTTTGTACTTAAGAGCCATTTACTTTGCTTTTTAAATTTTGTCTGAATCTTTTGCTCATTTTTCTAATAGACGTTTGGTCTCCATCTTCATCTAAACATTCTCCTCATAAAGCAAGGAGATTAGCCTCTTGCTTCTAATAGAAGTCGAAAACTGTTTTTCTCACCTTTAGCTGTTTGGGCTAGCCTGATCTGGAGTCACTGGGAAGTGACGAGTCCCCTTCAAATTGCCAGCAAGCAGCTGGTATCAGTAACCTGTGGCACCTATGTGCAGGGGAGTCCAGGTGCCCTGCTGCAGGTGGCTTTCAACGCATCTTAATGAGTGACTTTGTACTGTTGCCCTTTTGGGCCTCGCTGTAGGAGAGTTAGTGTCACACTGAGGCTGCAGGGTTGCAGAGGGTCCTTGTCCTGGAGAAGTTCTACTCTGGATTCTCACCCATCCCACCAGCTTCTAGTGGGGCCAGGAGTTACAGTAGGGCCCCTTACTCCTTGAGTACCTCTCCAGAGCCTCTACCAAGAAGGCTTACTGCTCAGCTCACTCTAAATATGGTGTCCGTGGGATTGCTTTGTCACACAGCCTATATGGAAGGGCGCATCCAAAGTTGAGAGCCAAAAGACTGGTGAGTGACACATGCATTGACCTGTCTACTTATGTGCTGATTCTCACTGTTTCGTATTGAAAAGTCGCAGTGTACGTGGGTATCTGTTACTAGCTGTGCTCCCTGATCTCCTTTAGGGTTTACCTGCTTATTCTAGATCATTTTCACTCTCAGATAAGCTTATCTATTTCTAGAAAAGCATACTTGCTGGCATGTGAAATGTTCCTGTGCTTTCTAATCTTAAGGGTATTTAATCATAAATTACCATGTGAAAACTCTTGCAGTTAGCAACAACAAAGTAATAAAGAAGTGAATGAAGTAGAAAATGAGAGTTCCATGCCTACATCCCCACCCCACTGTGATTAGTGTTTTCATACACACATATATTCTTATGGATGTATTTCTGATGTCATAAAAATGTGTACATTTTCAAAACTAAAAATATTTGAATACTTTTTAACAGTTATTCCTGTAACTCTAACTTAATGTCTTTTATTTTTCTTTATAGCTATCATTCCAGCCTATGAGTCTTTGAGAACATTATAATGTCTTTGTGCCCCTTCTTGCAAGGAGTTTTCTGAGCTGTTACCTGTTCAAGACATGGATATCAAAAACTCACCCTCCAGCCTTAACTCTCCCGCCACCTACAACTGCAGTCAGTCCGTTCTCCCCCTGGAGCACGGCCCCATATATATCCCTTCCTCCTATGTGGACAGTCGGCACGAGTATTCAACCATGGCGTTCTATAGCCCTGCCGTAGTGAATTACAGCATCCCTGGCAGTGCCAGTGACTTCGAAGGTGGGCCTGGTCGGCAGACCACAAGCCCAAACATGTTATGGCCAGCTCCAGGGCACCTCTCTCCTTTAGCCATCCACTGCCAGCCATCACTTCTGTACGCGGAGCCTCCAAAGAGTCCTTGGTGTGAAGCAAGAGCACTAGAGCATACCTTACCTATAAACAGGTAAATCCAGTCTCCATTGGGAACTGCAGCTCATGGCCTCGTCACAATATTAAAATTTAAAGGAAAAACTAGCCATATGAAACCCGAAAAGATAATTGGTGTAAGCTTTTAAAACAAGAAACTGAAGTGACTTTTTATAAAGATGGGTGGGAAACTGTTTAAATGCAGGCTTCCAGTGAGATTTCCTGAAGTTAAAAAGAGTATTTGAACTCTTTCAATGCAAAGTAACATGACAGATTATTTCAGTTTAATTGTTATATTCTCTATATCTGTGTCTGCAGAGGGGAAGGTTGGTACAGGGACAAGGGGAAGGGGAGATAAACTGAGATAACCAGTGGACTAAGTTACAGCATATTGCATATTAAAATTCCTTAATTTCAAATGATATCATAACACTTGAGAAATCAGGGGCTCAGGGTAAAGGTCAGTTGTAGAACCTGTGGTTGGCATGCATGAGACCCTAAGTTCAATCCCCAGTGCACCAAACCAAACAAAACAAAACAAAAACAAAATAAACAAAAAACAAAACTTTGAGAAAATAAAAAATAGCTTAAAATTTATTTTATTTATTCATTTTTCTGATTTGGGTCTTTTTTTTTTTTCTTTCCTGTTTTGGTTTCTTGAGACAAGGTCTTGCTTTGTAGTTCAGGCTGGCCTTGAACTTGCCATGCAGCCCAGGCTGGCCTCAAACTTGCTGTGATCCTCCTGCCTCGGACTCTCAGGTATTGGGATTACAGATGTGTGCCACTGTGCCTGGTTAATTTTTCTTTTTTTAAAAAAGCTTTATTTGCTGGAAAAGTAAAAAAAAAAAAAAATCTGAATATTGCAGATAATTTTTAAAGTAATGTTGGCTAAAGATAGAACAACTGGCTAGCACGTACAAAGCCCTGAGTTTGATCCACAGCAGCACAAAATGAATGAGTGAATAAATAAGTAAATAGGTAAAAATTTAAAAAATAAGTAAAAATAATGTTTTTCAGCCAGGTGTAGTACCTCATACCTGTAATCCCAGCACACTCAGAAGGAAGACTGCAAAGTTCAAGCCCAGCTTGGGTAATTTAGCAAGACCCTTTTAAAATTAAAAATTAAAAAAGGGCTGGGAATGTAGTTCCGAATGCGGTTCCTGGGTTCATTCCCTGGTGCCACAAAAAAATAAAGATATTCGGGCAAATCAAGCCATAGGAAAATCACCTTGATGTATAAATCAGTGAGACAGTACATCTATCATTTCCATAGGAAACATCCTTTAGCAAAATTGGGGACCCCCAGTGTGTTTGGGGTCCCATGGTGGCCCCACTCCTCCCTGGAGCCTCGGGCCCCCTTCCTTCAGAGCCCTGTGGGCATCCTCAGTGTGGGGATGGGCAGGAATGCGCCTGACCACTGCGACCTCTGTCATTCCCCACAGTGCGGCTCTCTGCAGACCTCTGTCATATTTCCTGATGTGTAAAGAGATTTAAGTTAGGCAATGTGCATGCCATTTGATTCCTCTCCCCTTTCTTTTCTTTACAATGGGCATTTGCTTTAACCCCCAGGGAGACGCTGAAGAGGAAGATGAGCACGGGCAGCTGTGCCAGCCCGGTTACCAGTCCCACCTCTAAGAGGGACGCTCACTTCTGCGCGGTCTGCAGCGACTACGCGTCCGGTTATCACTACGGAGTCTGGTCGTGTGAAGGATGTAAGGCCTTCTTTAAAAGGAGCATTCAAGGTACAAGAGCTGCTTTCTTCAAGTTAAGCATGTTGTGCTTTCATTTCAAGTTAAACTGCGTCTTTAGTTTTCCACTTTTGCTTTCCAAATTTAGCAGAGATGACCCGGTAGAGATTTTACTAAGGGCCTATTGGGTACACTTTGTGCATCTGACACACGGGCCAGAGAAGCTTGTGGCGGAGCGGGAGAGGGCTTGGGTAGGTGGGGTGCTGGATTGTCTCAAGTTCGGTGCTTTATCTTTCATTGCATGTGTCCAGCCCCCAGACCCCCTGACCCCCGCCAAGCCTGGCTTCAAGGCCAGCCAGCCAGCTCCACACACGTGTCCTTGCTACCTCTCCCTCCCTTGCCAGTCCTGATGCCACTTTCTGGTTGATTTGTGTTCTTTTCTGTCTCCCTCATAACTTCTCCCCGTAAACCTCTCTCAGGCAGTGTCCTTTGTTCCTATCCGCTCCCTTCCCTGTTCTACCAGAACCCGAGACCCTTGTTCTTAACCAGTTGAAAGCAGGAACCTTACAGGAGTTGACAGTGTGTGACTGGCAAATCGCAAATAGCTATATGAACATCGTAGCAGTGGATCATACGGCCAAGTCCAGTTCCCTGCTGTATGCTAGAACAGTTTAGACTTTCTAAGATTCAGAACGAATTCTTGATGTGATGCTTGAGTTCTTTATCTTGCTGAGGTTTCAGACTTTTACCTCTTATGGAAATTTTGATCTGCTAAAACTGTATCTTTAAAAAGACTTCTTCCTGTAGGAATCATCTGGCTGCCTACTATATCTCTTAACCTTGAGGCTATAGCTGATAACAGTTGAAACTGAGTTTTCCTGATGTTATTCATTCCTACTGTATCAGTCAGAAATGTCAAATTCTTTTTTTTTCAATTTTTACTTTTTCTTATTAGTATGTATTTGCAGTGCATAATGTTTACATTCCTCATGCGGAGTTGGTACATGTACTTAACACATCTTAATTCTTTTCTTCATACATTTTTCCTCCCTGCTCCCTATAGCTCTTGGTCCCCTTTCCTTTTGCAAAAGATCTATCTCTCTCTTCCCTGTTGTTCCTATTATCACTTTTATTTTGCCCTTTATTAATATTTTGAATGCCTCATATAAGAGAAACCATGTGATATTTAAGCTTGTGTGTCTAATTTATCTCACTTAACATTATGGTCTCAAGGGTCTCCCCTTTTCCTACAGATGATTCAAATTTATCCTTCTCTACAACAGAGTAGTACTCCATTGTGTACACATACACATTTTCTTTATTGGTTTGTCTGTTGATGCTTCCAAGATTTAGGTGTTAAGAGTTGTGCTGCCATAAACACAGGTGTGCATGGATCACTGCAACCTTTAATGTCTTTATCTCTTTTGGGAAGGTACCTAAAAGAGGATAGTTGGGTCAAATGGAATTTCTAGTTTTAGTTTTTTGAAAACTCTCTATACTTACTTCCATAATGATTATATTAGTTTATAAGAACATCAAATTCTTTTATTTTTTTTGGTACCAGGGATCGAACTCAGGACTTTGTGATTGCAAGGCAGGCGGCAGAACCACTGAACTAAATCCCTGGCCCACATCAAATTTTAAATCTGCAAAAGTGAAAGAATGTCATGCTCCTACAGTTGTTTAATGCCTAAATGTTCTTTTCTTTGGGTTCTTCATAGTTTTGGTATAAACACCTTATAATAATTGAGAATGGCCACCCAATTCTCTTGTTTTCGTTTTACTTCAGGGCTGGTGATCCACTGCAGGGGCGCTTTCCCTCTGAGCTGCATCTCTAGTTCTTTTCTCTTTTTAGATTCTTGCCAAGTTGCTCAATAGGATGCAAACATTATGTTCCTGAGTTGCACCATTCACCACTGGAAACAGACGTACTCACTGTTTCCAAGATGCAGCTATTATAAACTGTGCGACTGTAAATACGAGTGTGCAAGTATCCCTGTAATACGATGACTTTAACTCTTCAGAGACTGTACCTAGGTGGAGGATAACTGGCTTAAGTGGAATACTGGAATTTCTAGTTTTTGTTTTTTGATGAATCTCCATACTGAATTTCACAGTGGTTGTACTAGTAGTTTACATTTCCACCAGCAATATAGAGTTCCTTCTTCCCCACATCCTCACCAGCATTTGTTGTTATTAGATTTTTTGATATAGCCATTCTTTTGGGGGTTAAGATGGCATCTCAGTGTAGTTTTAATTTGTAATTTTCCAATGGCCCGTAATGTTGAACATTTTTCGTGCATTTACTGACCATTTGTACTCCTGAGAAGTGTCTATTTCAGCTGCCCATTTTTTAAAAAATTGAATCTTTTACTTCAGGGAGTCGAATTTTTGTTTTGTTTTATTTTTGAGATAGGGTCTTGCTCTGTGGTCTAGGCTTACCTTGAATCTACTATAGACTGGTCTATAGTCTTGAACCCACTATAGAGTCATGGCAATTCTCCTGCCTCAGCCTTCTGAGTGCTGGGATTATAGGCATGCACTGCCATGACCAGCTTGGAAATCTAATTTTTTTGAGTTCTTTTTGGTGCCCGGGATCAAATTCAGGACTTGAGCTTTCAAGGCTAGTGTGGTGCTTTTTTGACTTCTTTATATATATATATATTTTTTTTTCCTGGTACTAGGGATTGAACTCAGACATGCATGTTATCACTGAGCTCAGTCCCTGGCTCCTTTTTATAAATTCTAAATGTTAGTCCTCTGTCTGAGGAATAGCTGGAAATTTTTTTTTTCCCTTTCTGTCTGTTAGCTATTTCTTTGCTGTGCAGAAGCTTTTTAATTTGATATGATCCCATTTGTTTCTTCTTGGTACCATTTGTTGTGTCATTGAAAGTTTTTGCCCATGTCTTCAAGAGTTGTATCTTTATCTTCCAGGAGATGAAGTTTTTCTATTTTAACATTGAGATCTTCGATCCATTTTGATTTGATTTTCATACACAGAGAGATGTATGAGTCTATACTCAATCTTCTGCATGTATAGATCCCATTTTCCCAGAACCATTTATTCATTTATTTTGGTGGTACTGGGTTGGGAACTCAAGACCTTGCACTTGTGAGGCAGTTGTGTTGCCACTGAGCTAACTCCCCAGCCCTCCCAGCACCATTTATTAAAGAGGCTAAGCTCAGTTCTTTAGAACAGTCTCAAACAGGCCAGAATGGTACACTTTTAATTGGGGAAACTGATGGCATTTGCTATTCTTCTGTTTTTTTAAAGTTTATAATTCCTAATTTTAAACTGCTTGCCAACATGATCTGTAGGCTGTTTGGCCCTATCTGATTAAGTTTTTGGCTCTTCGCAGCAGCTGGGGGTGTGGAGTGTGGCATCACATGGGCTTTGTTGGCTTCCTCACGTAGTGAGCACCTTTCTCCTCTGGACCGTGAATCTGAGGACTGGACACTGAGAAAGGCTCCTTATCACTTCTGGCCCAGATGAAGGCATGACTTTTTTTTTGGTACTGGGGATCGAACTTGGGACCTTGCCCTTGTGAGGCAGGCGGTGGCACCAGTGAGCTAAATCCCCGGCCCAGCATGATTTATTTTTTAAAGCTTGTTCTTTATTTTTTGTCTTCTTTACTATTGAAATTCTTTTAGTAAACATTTGTTGAGTGCTGAACTAGGCTCTAGAATACAGTGGGAACGAGCCTGTTGTACATTTTGATGACTACTGGTACACCAATAGTCCTTAGAGTGATAATGTTTTAAATTAATTAGGCTCATCTGTGCATAGAGTTTTGAATCTTCTTCTTTTTTTTTTTTTTTTTTTTTTTTGGTACTGGGGATCGAACTCGGGACCTTGAGCTTGCGAAGCAGGTGGCGGAACCAACTGAGCTAAATCCCTGGCCCTGGATCTTCTTTTTTACATGATGATTTTGGCAAGCATTTACCTATGTTATTAAATTTCTAGAAACCTTTATGACAACTGTATAATATTCATCTTATAGAATAATTTATCTCTATTGTTGAACATGTACTCAGTTGCTTTCAATTGTTTTAAACAATGCTGTGATAGTTGTGTCTGTGAAGCTTTGAGGAAATCTCTAGCAGTTCCTCTGGATGTAGTTTTCAAACAAATCTCTAGGATTATAGCTTGTTAAAGTTTATAATTCTTGAAAGGTATTTTCATTATTTCTCAGAAATGTTGATAAAGTTATTCTTCTACCAGCTGTGTATGAGTGTTGGTTTTACCAAACTCTCAATGGAATCCAGTATCATTATTAGAAAGAGAGAAAAAGAAAAAAAAAATCTTGGCACACATGGCGTCTTTGCATTTTTATTTGCTTCCCTTAATTAGAGAGGCAAATGTTTCTCCTAAATTCATCTGGCTTCCACTCAATGCCCCAAACAGAGAGTTCTATTTATTGGGGCTATTCAGAATTGCAGCACAGGAAAATACAGATTAAAACAGTCTTGAGGGTCGGGGATTTAGCTCAGCAGTTCGGGGGCCCGCCTTGCAAGCACAAGGACCTGAGTTCAATCCCCGGTACCAAAAAAACAAAACAAAACAAAAACAGTCTTGCAAATGTGCTCCATATTTTAAAACGTTTTTTATTAGTTCATGTTTGCAGTACCTAAGGATTGCATTCATCATCAGGAGTTGGTACATGCACCTAATACATATTCATTATTTTTATTTCCTCTTCCCCTCCTGTCTCCCTTCACTTCTAGATGTGCTTCATCTTTTGACTTCTTTATTCATAACTTCTATACATTTTTCTGTTGGGTTCTGACATTTGCTTTATAAATTACCATGTGCTCTTAATATTAATATAGTAATTTTATGTGAGCGTCAGCTTTTCCAAATGACATTGATTTTTGACGTGCAGAAATATATTTAAGTTGTCAGATATAACCAACTTTGATAGTTTTACGTGTAATTTTTATACCTAAAAAATCCTTTCACAGGGTAGGGGAAAGGGAATAAGGGAAAAGAAAAAAATAGGAGAAAATGAAAAAATGGAAATAAAGTGTTTGTAAATGGGGAGGGGAGGAGGGGT